GAAGCGGCAGAAGATTCATCAAAAGTCAAACCAAAGAGCAGTGGTTGTAATGAGCCAATTCAAGTTCAAGTTCAGGATGCTAAAGTAGAACATGAAGGAGCAATGTAGGCCAACAGAATCCAAGTGAACAATGGCAGCAACTGAGGAGGGAGAGAAAACGAGAGCAAAATGTGGGCAGATGGGCGAACAAAAGAGGAGAAAACCAGAGAAAGCTGGTAGCTTTAAAGGGGAGCTAATCAGCTTTTCAGCTTGGCAGTGTACAGTGAACAGATGTTGTCAGGACCAGCCTTCCCAGCTTGCTTGCTTTTTCTCTGGTTAATGCTGTATAGCAAAAAAGGAAGCAGCGAATCGAGCAACGGAAGGGAAAAACGTTTTTAGAACTCCAATCAACTGTATTCAAGCATGTTTTGCTTATGAGTGAGCAGAATGATTGAGAAGCAATAGAAAAGCACGTGCAAAAGAGAACAAAACTAAAATGGAAAACAGAATATTTTACAAGGATTAAAATTTTACATTTCAGCGTGATTGTGAACAAAAAGAAAGAGCACTTGAATAGACTTACGCTATTCAAGTAGGTGCAGCCATTAAGAAATGAGTTTATTAAGTGCTACTAGTATTGAAACGGCAACATTCTTAGCAAGCTCTTTTTAACGTTAGTGAAACATTTCAAGTGCGCCCTTGAAATCTGGCCTGCTTTTTATATTAAGTATTAAATAATCACTACTTACTACCTTTAAAGTGAAGTGGTAAAAGTGCAAATTGTTTAGCAGGAAAGAGCAAAGAAAATTATTAACTTTAAACAGTGCATTGAGTACACCTCATTTCTAGCCAAATACCAGTGCATGCACTACAACAAACACTACTACTACTACTGCACTACCTAAGTGATCAACCTTTTTGCAAACATCAGTGGTCACACTTTCGAGGTCATTGAGAAGACGATTGATGATGGCAATTTTGATGAATTCGACGGCTCTTCAATCTCAGTTTGTACTGCAGTGACGGTAAAGTAGAAGTTGTTTAGAAAGTTGGCCCAATCGACCTCAAGTGGGTAGATGTGTCGTCGAGACCAGCGTTTCCGGGGCTTCTTCGGCGGATCACTGGAAACCACCGGCAGGCGAAGGGCCTCGCCAATCATGGCCAACAGCTCGTCAATGAGCTTGTTCAGCAAAAACAGCGACTTTTTCTTCTTCCCATTCTCTTTTTCCCTTTCCTCCACTTCCTCAATGTTGGTCAGCAGGCGGAGGTGAAACTCCAGCCGACGACCAAAGGTGGACGCTCGAAGGTGAGCCGTCGTGTCAGAGCCGCCGCCGCCGGAGCGGCGCCAAAGCTGCCCGATTTCCGCCGCCTGGCTGTGCAGCAGGAGAAAGTACTCGAACCAGAGGGCGGGCTGCACCTCCAGGCGGAAGTGCTGACGGAGGTGGGCGATCTCCTGGTGGAGGCACTCCAGCAGCTTGACCGCGTAGCAGAAGAAGAGCGAAGAGGAGGTCATCAGCGAGGTGGACAGCGGGGCTTCGTAGAACTCTGAACTGCGATCTCCGAAGAGCAGCTCGCCAACAGTGCCGGCCATTGCCGACGACCGGACGCCCCAGATGGTGATCGGCCGTCGACGGAAGGTGGTGGTGAGCTGCCCTTTTGAAAAGCTGAACAGTAGAGGTCGAAACAGGTCAAAGCGGAGGTTGTCATCGTCGAGGTTCATCTCCAGCTGCAGGTACAGCCGCCTGGCGAAGGTGTCGTAGTCGAGGCTGGGGGCGTTCTCGAACAGTTTGCGCACCTGGGCAAAAGTGGCGGTAAAGTGGGGGTCGGCTGGTGGGGCAGACTGGAAGGCTTCCAGGAAGGTCCAATCTTGAAAGGTGTCCTCCAGTGAGAGCAATTTTCGAAAGAGGCTTTCATTCTCGGGCGACTTGGTGATCAGGCTCAGCGGCACGTGACGTAGTTTTCGGGTGACGGATTTTTCCCGCTCAATGGCAAACATTTTAGCTNTACAGCCGCCTGGCGAAGGTGTCGTAGTCGAGGCTGGGGGCGTTCTCGAAAAGTTTGCGCACCTGGGCAAAAGTGGCGATAAAGTCAGGGTCGGCTGGTGGGGCAGACTGGAAGGCTTCCAGGAAGGTCCAATCTTGAAAGGTGTCCTCCAGTGAGAGCAACTTTCGAAAGAGGGCTTCATTTTCGGGTGACTTAGTTATCAGGCTCAGCGGCACGTGACGTAGTTTTCGGGTGACGGATTTTTCCAGCTCAATGGCAAACATTTTAGCTTTGTCTTTTTCTTTTTCTAGGTTGCAAAAAGTGCTGGTGGAGGACTCAGATTCTGAGTTCTCGGAGTTTGGCTGGAACCACTTTGTGGTGCAGCCGCCAAAGGTGACGTTCTTTTTTTTCTTGGACATTTTAACGGGCGCAGAATTCTCTGCAATTGAAATTGAATCGGCTTTTTTGCCCATGATGGTAATGTTGAAGAAAAAAATCAAGGTTGTTGTTCACGAAAAGTTGTCCTAGCAGGAAAAGCCGGCAAAATGGTCAGCCAACAAATACGCTAAAGACGCTTAGGTTTTAAAGCAAAAACGGCCATACAAAGTTTGGTTTGCTGGTACGGTGGCATTAAGAGAAGTGCATTGACGGTTCAGCAGGCAGCAGAAGTAGTGGTGATGGTGGTGGTGGTTTTAGTACTGGTGTTTTCAAAGAAAAACACTAAAACCCATTGCAGTTAAAGTGAAAAGTGATAAAAGCAGCGGTGAAAACGCAATTAAAACGATGAACGCGGTGAGCGAGTGGCACGGAGAGTAAATGAAAATCAGGTGCGCTCATTAATTAAAGCCAGAAAGTTAGAGAGAAAGAGGTAGAGAAAAGCACAAAACAAGGGAGGAAAATGTGATGCAACAAAGCTTAAAAAGTTTGTGAAGAGGGGTAGAACGAGGAAGTCTACCAGCTTACTGTACTGCACAATGCAATTAAATTGGCAGGCTGCACGTCAAATCACCTCACCGCATCATAAAGATCAAGATCAAACCATAAAGTAGGGTGATATGCAAAATAGCATTAGTAAGAGCAGCAGTAGTAATGGAAATCGGCCGTTCAAGTTTAATTCAAGTTCAATGGCAACAAACAGGTAATAAACGGTACTGTATGGTAGCGGCGTGATGTACGGCAATAGCAGCAGCAACAATAACAACAACGTCAGAACGGTAAACAAAGCAAAAGAAAGGAAAGATGCTTCAAATAGCTCGTGTGTGTGTTTGCTTTAAACTCTAGCCAATTCACGCTAAATCCCCCTGTACATCTATCTTATTTAAATTCATTTTTTCTTTAATTCATTTCATTTTACTTCATTTTATTACGATTGCCAGTCACTCGTAATTAAAACGGTATTTGCATTAGTGCATTACTACGGCGTTTGCAGCAGCTATAACTGCACCGAACGGAAAAAATTCAGTAGCTCTAATTTAGATCGCGCCATTTTTGGGTGGAGTCGTGCAGAAATTGTCCTAAACAAACATAAACACACGTTTTGGAGTTCCGCACAGCTGTGCATCTTGAATTGGAGCGCTTTGGGGGCAATGTTAGCAATCGCATTAGCAGCAGCAATAGTTGAAAAGATTATTATTCTTCAACGAATTTCTAGGCATTTTTAACAAGAAAAACACTGACACACAATCATTATTTTGAACAACTTGAGCATAATTGAAAATTAAAAAGGAAAACTGAACAAAAAACAAAAAGAAAAATAGAGTAAAATAAAGAGGGAGAGAAAGCAAAAGCAAAAGCAATAGAAAAATTAAAAACATAAAAAAGGAGCTTTTTCATTTGCACTGTTTGAAGTTGAAATTGAATAAAATTTATAAATCTTTCCAATGAAACCCACACACCAACTTGATGACGCATTTCAAACTCATTCTAGCTGGTCACCAGTAGTGACACTAGGCACTAACTCATATGTCGAGGAATTAGTCAGCAATGGAAGCCACTTCAGTGCCAACTAAGCCAGGCGCCAGTTGCCCGGACAACTGCTTTTCCTTTCATTCCAAAGTCACTTGAGATTTAATTGGACTATCACTTGTGCATCATCACTTCTACTGAAATAGAAGGCAGAAAAAGGATTAATCACCAAGTTGGTAAAAGACTTAAAATTTCACATGTTTGACTAAATGATTAATTGAAAACATCTAGAGCTCAACTTTTGAAAATGGACTTTCTAGTTAGAAGAATTGATTTTGCAATAGAAAAAGTTTAAAAACAAAAAAATGGTCTCACGTTTTAGGCAAACAGCTTTAGTAATAATTTAAATTATAGAACAAATTTTAAAATGATTTAAACGAATTAAAAGTTACCTAAATAGGAAAAACCGCAAAACAAAACAAAATATTAAAGCAATAAAAAAATTTAAATTTAGTTGACCAATTAATTGGTGTTGCCCATGCACAACTTTTTATAAAACTTTATAATAAAAAACAACTTTAAAATTTAAATTTTAAATTTATCGGAGAAAAACCGTCATTGATAACCATTGCCAGATACAGCTGTCATTTGAAAACGGCTCCACTTTTTCAAACTGACGATCGCTTTGCCACTTGCGCGCCGAAACGTTCACTGAAGTGTACGACGTGTGTCACACCATCTACGACTGTTCCTTTTGACGCAAACATTTTCACACACGCTTGTTGCTCGAAAGCCAAAGGCGAGAATCACACACACACCGCATCTGCCAACTGAAACGTAAACAAGGTAAGTGGTTTTCAGTTTATTGCGTTATCATTTCACTTTTAAATGGGATTTTTTTTGTTTTAGAGTGTGGAAAACTTCCCTTTAATTACCGCCACTTGTTAAGCACTCGGTAAGTAAAAGCAATGCAGTCTTGATTTAAAAACTGCCCAATGCTTTGACACGCCATTTTGACAGTTGCGGCGTCTTTATCTGTGTGTGTTAAATCCCTTCTCAATTCTACAGTTTCTTAAACTAATTTAATCATTTTCAACTTTTTTACTTGCAAACCCAGTGAGCCAGACTCAAAAATGGGATCCGAAAAAGTGAAGTTGATGAGCAAGGAAGGCGATGAATTTGAGATCACGAAGGATGCCGCCTTTCTGTCCTTTGTGATCGAAGATGTTTTCGACAAAGCTGATCCCAATGACAACGAGCCGACTCGGCTGCAAGTAACGTCCGCCGATCTGCGCCAAATCGTCAAGTGGTTGGAGTACCACCACGAGAATGAGGAGACAGTAGAGAACCTGAAGACCATGACACCTGGCGCCCACTCCATCTCCGTCTGGGACAAAGAGTTCTTTGACTCGTTTCAGTCAAAAGACGAAGTATTTTCTCTGTTTGAAGCAGGTAAGGGACATTGTTGATTTTTCATTGTTTGACATGACTGGAAATACAAAAAACTTTTAGGTTTTCTGGTCAAATAGCAGCAGACTCTAATGTAAGCATTTTTGTTTTTTTGCAGCCAATTACATGAACATTCCAAAGCTTATCAAGGTGTGCGCCAAGTATCTGGCCAAGTTCATTGAAGAAAACAGCAGCACTCCTGAAGCTTGCTTTGCAGCTTTTGATGTGCCAACAGAGTAACGTTTTAAAAATACTGCCTGTTTATTTTTTTTCAATTATTAATTGAATTCTTTTTATTTACATTTTTAGAACAAACTTTCAATAGTGTAATTTGCCTTTTTTTACTTTTTTGCAAATATTTTTAAAGAATATTATACAAAATTTCCTTTTAACTATTAAACCAATTGTTTAACCTCTACACCAATGGTTCATGTAACATGTCAACTTGAATTATGATGAAAATTCTCTGCAACAAAAAGAATAAAAACGTTTATATTACTCAAATGTTGTGTTTACATTTACTGCTTACCTTTTACCCAGTTGTCTTTAAATTGAATATCATCGGTTGTTCTGCAAACCATTAAAACGATATTAAAACTGTCATCGAACACTTGTTAATACATTTCTTGAGGGTAGCCATCATAGTCGTTTTCAAAAAATGCTGTGCCGTTTCATTTAGAAAGTCAGGAAAACTTTTGAGCTATCTGAAAGAAAAAGGTTAACAGTTAAGAAAAAAATTTTAATTTATTTAAAAAAGTTACACAGGAAAAATGTCCAAAAATAATTTGGAATTTATTGATGTTGTTTTGTAATACAAAAATATAAATATGTACATGAATTTGGCGTTATTTACAAAAATGTTTTTACAATTATTTACAATTTTTTACAATTGTACAAGGTGTAATGTATATTTACAAAAACAATGAATTATGTACAAGTGAAAATTATTTCAAACTTTGCATCTAAATCAGACTGAACTTTTTGGTTCGAGCTCAAAGAAATGGAAAACGATTTACTTTTGATTTGTTTCAAGCTCAAAATTGACTGAGTTAGCTAAACTCACTAAATCTACAACTGGATCATCTAAGATCATCACTACTTTTTTTGGTGTTTTAGAAATTTTTTAGTTTTTTTTGGTTTTTTGTTTTTGTTTTGTTGTTTTTTTGGGGCTTTTTTACTTGTTTTCCGGTTTGCCAAAATGTCGTGCTGACATATATTGGCAATAGCGAAACGTCTTGTCTTTAAGAGAACTTAAAGCTAAAAGTGCTACTGTTGCTGTTCCGGCTGTTACGCCTTACAGGTGAAAGTTAGACGAAGAAATAATGCTCAAAAAGTAAGCTCATTGTTGGAACGAAACACTGCAGAAGTCGACGAGGCTGCTAGTCAATGGGAGACGGAATGATGGTAGTTTTCATCAGATTGTTTCGTTTGGACAGTCAGCTGTAGAGAGAGTGAGAGCAGTCAAACTCTCATAAGCAAATTCTCTACCCAGCACTCCGGCTGAAAGCCAAACGGTCTTTGTTTTTGTGAGTTTTGTTGCTTTTTTTGTTTTGGGGTTTTTGTGTTTTGTTGATTTTTTTGTGTTTGTAGTTTTTGTCATTGTTTTGCTGCTTTTTGTTTATTTTTGCTTTTTTGTTTTGTTGCTTTTTTTGTTTTTTCTTTTTTCGCCAGAAGTGCAAAGTAAAGTTGCTTCGGAACCAAACTTCAGTAAGTACACAGTAATATTTAATGCAAAAATTACTGAGTATTTACTAAGGTTTGATTCAAGTAACTTTACTTTGCACTTCGTGTGCTTTCTTTTGAGGTTTTTTTGTGTTTTTACTTGTAATTGGCACTTTAATACATGTTTTTGCTTGGTTTGCAATTTATCCTAGTTTAAAGGTAAATTGTTCTGAAGAGAGTTTAACAAGAGGTTGTAAAACTTTTAGTTGAACTCTCCAAATCAAGGGCATGTCATTTGGATGGTCAAAAGACTCATCCACTACTCTATTTTATTTTTGGGTTTTTTACTTGTTTTCAAATGATCAGTATGTGAAATGAGAAATGATATAGTTTTTTGTCAGCTAAAACCTTTCTGACTGCTCGCACAGTCAAAAATTTCTAGTAGTCTTTAAGTTTGCAGTGTAGTTTGGCACATTTACATTAAGCTCGATTGGTTAAGACAAGTAAATGGTCGGAAAAGCTGGCAACGTTTAGTGGTGACGAGACTGCTAGTCACTGATGACAGGGATGATGGAAAGTAAAGCAAAACCCTAGTTTGCAACCTAAAGCTTTACTTTTAGTTGCCTGGTTAGTTTTATTCACTTGTCAGTTTTCAAGCAGTTCACAGTGGAATTTTAAGTTTGCATTTTAGATGGAAAATTGATGCAAAAGAGGGAGTAGTCCACGCAGTGCTCAAGTCGACTGCCTGAAAAGGGAATTTGTTTTTGTGAGTTTTTATTTTTATTTTACTGATTTTTTTGTTGCTTTTTCTTTGTTTTCCGATGGGAGTTTGCTCCTTTAAATCCCATTAAAAGGTTCCGCGTTTTGTAAGCTCGATTGAACAGACAAGTGCTGCAAGGACAGTGCAAGGTGATGAGGCTGCTAGTCACCAATGGGGAAAAGTGGGGATTGTCAGGTGGTGATTGACCAATTGCTAGTTGAGCAATGTCCCCATTGCACCTAGGATTGCACTTGTCTTGTCTGGGCAGCCAACTGTGAAGTCAGAAACTGATAGGCACCTGTGTGTGCGCTGGATTGAGTAAATAGGTTGCAAAGCTGTCGTTTGATTCAAAACTGTGTACAACTTCAAGATGGATCTTTTTTT